CTAAAGGCTGCTGCTCGTTGATCGTCGAGAAATGCTGCTTTGAAGCATTTTTTGTTGTTGTTTTCGCCTGTTTATCAGCCGTGGCTGAACAGCTCCAAATACGTCTTTAAGTGTGTTCTAAAAGGAATTCACAGCTTTGGTGGAAAGAGTAAGAATAGGGATGTTTGGCATTAAATTCATATTACTTTCAGTATTGATTATGAACAGACTGTTACCTTCTGGTTTCAGAATGAACGAGCTACCTTCAGCATCTGCTGGCGACTTCTCATTGCTTAGTAGAAACGGGTAAAACCAAAGTGCCTGAGTTTCCTCCGTTGTTTAGTCTTCCTGTATTCGAGCAATGAGATCGTATTTTTTTTCTGAGGACATAGATTATAAGTTATATACAGTAGATTATTCCTCCCCCCCTACTCTGCCCTGGGAGGCCCCATCTGCAGTCCTGTGTCCAGTTCTGGGCTCCCCAGTTCAAGAAAGATGAGGAGCTACTGGAGAGAGTCCAGTGGAGGGCTACAAGGATGAGGAGGGGACTGGAGCATCTGCTACGAGGAGAGGCTGAGGGAGCTGGGCTTGTTCAGCCTGGAGAAGACTGAGAGGGGACCTTAGAAATGCCTACAAATATCTGCAGGGTGGGGGTCAGGAGGATGGGGCCAGACTCTTTGCAGTGGTGCTCAGTGACAGGACAAGGGGCAATGGGCACAAATTGAAGCAGAGGAAGCTCCAGCTGAACATGAGGAAGAACTTCTTCCCTCTGAGGGTGATGAAGCCCTGGCCCAGGCTGCCCAGGGAGGCTGTGGAGTCTCCTTCTCTGGAGATATTCCAGCCCCGCCTGGACAAGGTCCTGTGCAGCCTACTCTGGGTGACCCTGCTTGGGCAGGGGGTTGGACTGGGTGACCCACAGAGGTCCCTGCCAACCCCGAACATTCTGTGATTCTGTGATGGTGTGGATGCTTGTAAATGAAGAAACAACTGTTCTGGCTGGGGATTCAGTTTTGATTTGAGATTGTTGTCAAGCATGAATGAATAAGAGTCCTCATCTTGTCACTGATTTATAAAGGATTAAACTGATAATTATTAGATGCCTTTAGTTTACTGTTAGGATGTGAAACTACCCCCAGAACCCCCTGGCAGTTGCGAGTTTCTGAAGGGAGGATGCAGTTTCAATAGCAGAATAACAGGACATTGTCCTAACTGATGCCAATAATCTACTGAATTCTTTTTCGTGATGCCCAGTTCTTAGCAAAGCTTTGTTGGATTTTGAGAAAATTTATTGAAAGTTACATTTTACAGAAAAAAAAAATTACAGTTTTTAAGAGTTCACCTTCCATATTGGCGCTTGTCTCCCAGTACAAAAAAGACTGGATAAACTGGAGTGAGTTTAGCAGCAGCCACCAAGACGGTCGGGGCTGAAGCCCTTTCCCCGTGGGGTGCGGAGAGACTGGAGCTGGCTCAGCCTGAAGAAGAGATGACTTTGAGGGAACCTAGGAGCAGCCACCCAGACCGATGAGGAGGTTGTGGAGGATGATGCCGTGAAAAGCCAGAGCTGAAGACTCAACAGTCAGAGGGCTATGAAGCAGGTATTCCTTATTGCGGCGGCGGGCACACGGGGGATCTCTCCTCCAAACGTGCGCGCCACACACCCTGTCATTTCAGGTTAAATACAATCACAGTATACATATTCATTATATTTCCGAGAAATGCTTTTTTTACTTACAAAGCTGAAAAAAACTTTACATTGAGATTGTCGTCAACTGTGCTGTCGTAATTCATTAATTATAAGTTAACAGAATACTTTGATTTAGAAGGAGGCGTTGGTACAATCCATTTGGGTTAGATTCCATTCGTGGTGTACGATAACCAACCATTCCCTTTGGAAAAGAGGAGCTGTAATAACATGTTATGAAGGCAGGTTTGTGGGTCAGCGCTTGTTTTCTGCAGATCTACAGTTCAGGTGGAGAAAAGTGGAGCTGCATTGCAGCAACACATTGTGTGTGGTTTACTTTGTGCAGTAATATCCTGATGGAAATGAAGAGTTGTTTTGGTTGCTTTAGAGCTGCTTTGGGGACTGAAAGCCACAGGCTGTCAAGGTGTCTGACTTGTTTTTTCTTCTTCGGTACATTTTTTTTGATGGGCTGCTTGTGTTCACAGACTATTACTCACTTCTGCTCCTTTGAAATTAAGTGTCTGCAGACGTCTCTGGAGACTCACTATGGACCATATTATTAAAAAAAAAAAGAGGAAAAAGCAAAAAAAGATAAAAAAAGAAGTGTTTCCCTGCACTGAAGTTTCATTTCTGTACTCTTCAGAACCCCTGCTGCACTGTGGGTACTACATAGTTTATACTTTCAAGCCCTGATGAATCACTCGATCTTTGATTTCTTTCATTTATGAAAGGATGCACTTCCTGTGAATTCAGGGCTGTCACTTGGCAAGCCTGTCATTTATGGGAGCCAGATCTTCTGGGAAGTCACCGGGAGGAGAATTTGGTCCTAATAATACTTTAAATGTTTCCACTGTAGATTTATTTTCAACTGCTCTTTTCTCTACCTTATTTTGGTGCTAATGTACTAAAGCCTACCTCAGCTCAAGGCACAGCCACCATCTACTGCCAGCTATGTTCTTTGTAGTCACCAAGGTACTTCGTATGGGCTCTGCAAGTTCTTGTTGCCCTATGGCTTCCACCCATCCAAGTGAAATGTGTATGTTTTAAACTGTCAAAGTATTGTTACAGTCTTAGCACCCCTTCTGAAAGTTTTTACATCTTTGTACACAATAAACAAGGTAAAAAGCAGACCACAGAGTTCCCTGAGACCTTAGTACGTGGACTTTGGCCGTGTGATGTGGACTGAAAGATTTCGCTGTCTTTTCCTAGTGAGGATCCAGTGTTGAGAGAAAAGCCAGTAGTACTGGAGTTGTCGGGATGGATGATATTTCCTCTAAATAGGTGGCATTTTTAGGAATGGGTTTATGGGTGGGACCTTACTTGCTATAGGCTGGCACTAGCCAGAGCTCTGACATAGAATCATAGGATGGTTTGGGTTGGAAGGGACCTTAAAGACCATCTGGTTCCAACCCCCCTGCCATCAGCAGGGACATC